TAAAATGATCACTTTTTTTTTTCTAACTGGGCATATCATGGAAGCCTTTACTAAGATCAGGTTTTGGGCAAGATCAAGTTTCAGAAGGAGATCATGATCACTCTTAGATATCTAGCACCAAGCCTACTGCAAAATTTATTAACTCATCAAACATTGATTGAGCTTCACCATAGTCAGATGTTATACTAAGTGTTGAGGATATCTGGTGTCCTTATGCTTATGGAATTACAGAGATGGTAGATTTCAGAGTGCAAGAAGGGACCGTACGAGAAAATCATCCAGTCCAACATCTTCATTTTAAAGATGAAGGATAGAATTTGAAACTTTTGATTTTTGCAGAAATATCAAGACTCCTCTATAAAAATTATGGTTACCTTAGTAAAACTTAACTTCATTCAATCAAAATAACTGTGGTATTATTTTCCCTTAGGGATATGATACAATCTGTTTTCATTTCTGTATTAATGATTGTTACAATTAGTACCATTGAAATACTTTCTGATGCAATCTGAAGTCATGAAAATTTGGGCACTGTAGCCAGGGGTTCAGTGAGAGATGCTATCGTTGGTTTGACTAGGCTTATAAACAACATATGCAAGAAGAATAATAAACCACATTCAAATGTGCACACATTTTTTACTACGGATTAATAGGAGACAAATGTGGAATTGGGCACTTCTATTTTTTTATATTATTGATGGTAGGCTGCTAATTATCTTGAAGCATTTCAGAGGAGATTTTTCAAATTAAACAGAAAGCATTAACATGAAAGGAAAGAACGAAAGGGCTGGAAAGAAATAAGGGGCTGCAAAGAAAAAAACTTGTGCAATGAATTCTAGATTTTTATGTGTGCATGTGGGTGTGTGTGTTGAAATGTTTGTTTTAAGGACTTATTCAATTTGTAAGTTAAGATATTTGGTTAAAGAGTTAATAGGTGATGATGAAATAGCAAGCTGTGTAGATGTGATCTATTTAAATGCCAGGAAATGAAAAAAAAGATTATTTAGGGTGGTCTAAATATGCATTGTCGTTGTTCAGTCACTGAGTTGTGTTCGACTCCTTGTGACCCCATGGACTGCAGCACGCCAGGCTTCCCTGCCTTTCACTATCTCCTGAAGTTGGCTCAGATTCATGTGCATTGAGTCAGTGATGCTATCTAATCATCTCATCCTCTGCCACCGTCTTCTCTTTTTGCCTTCAGTCTTTTCCAGCATCAGAGTCTTTTCCAATGAGTCGGCTCTTCACACCAGGTGGCTAAAGTATTGGAGCTTCAGCTGCAGTCCTTCCAATGACTATTCAGGGTTGATTTCCTTTAGGACTGATTGACTTGATCTCCTTGCAGTCCAAGGAACTCTCAATAGTCTTCCTCAGCACCACAATTTGAAAACATCCATTCTTAGGCACTCAGCCTTCTTTATGGTTCAACTCTCACATCCGTACATGACTACAGGAAAAACCAGAGCTTTGACTATACAAACCTTTGTGGAGATTTCTTAAAAAACTGGAAATAGAACTGCTATATGACCCAGCAATACCACTTCTGGGCATACACACTGAGGAAACCAGATCTGAAAGAGACACGTGCACCCCAATGTTCATCGCAGCACTGTTTATAATAGCCAGGACATGGAAGCAACCTAGATGCCCATCAGCAGATGAATGGATAAGGAAGCTGTGGTACATATACACCATGGAATATTACTCAGCCGTTAAAAAGAATTCATTTGAATCAGTTCTAATGAGATGGATGAAACTGGAGCCCATTATACAGAGTGAAGTAAGCCAGAAAGATAAAGACCAATACAGTATACTAACACATATATATGGAATTTAGAAAGATGGTAACGATAACCCTATATGCAAAACAGAAAAAGAGACACAGATGTACAGAACAGACTTTTGGACTCTGTGGGAGAAGGCGAGGGTAGGATGTTTCGAAAGAACAGCTTGTGTATTATCTATAGTGAAACAGATCACCAGCCCAGGTGGGATGCATGAGACAAGTGCTCGGGCCTGGTGCACTGGGAAGACCCAGAGGAATCGGGTGGAGAGGGAGGTGGGAGGGGGAATCGAGATGGGGAATACATGTAACTCCATGGCTGAGAAAAATAAATGAAAAGAAAAAAAAAAAAAAAAAACCTTTGTCAGCAAAGTAATATCTCTGCTTTTTAACATGCTATATAGATCTGTCGTAGCTTTCCTTCCAAGGAGCTTACCTATTATCTATATTAAATTCCAGCATTCATTGTTCATTTAGAGTGAGGTTTACTTGGCTCTTTACACTAGGTCAGATACTATGAAAGAAAAGGGATGAAAGATCCTGCCCTAAGGGCAGAACAAACTGGAAGCATCAGGCAGATCCAGGCTGCTCACACAACATGCACATACACGATGGGAGACGGTTTCTTGCAGGGAGTGGTGATTGCCAAGGGAAAACCCTATGGAGCAAAGGAAGTTTCAAGATGTTTTGTAGAGATGAGAGCCTGTTCATCCGAAAGGTGCTTCAGGATAAGAAAGGAAAAAGTGGGTACTGAATGAAACAGATGGCAGTCAAATGACCTACATGAGGCTTAAAAGTAGTTTGAGGAGGAGATGAAGATAGAAAGCAAAGATGGAGTTAGATTGGAATACATATGGAAGAGGCAGAACTCCTGAGAGGATGGTTGAAATGATCAAAATGAGAAGTGTTTAGAACCAGAGCTTTTCTTCATCCCCTGTAACTGGAATGGCAGGACTGAATTCAAAGATATAATTATATTTTAATATATTCATATTATGTATGTGATTAATAGTTATAATTAATAAACATTAATTATGATATATATTGCACATATTTTATGTGTTATAACATAATATAAATATGCATATATATATGGAGTCTAGAAAAACGGTACTGATGAACCTATTTGCAGGGCAAAAATAGGGATGCAGATGTAGAAAATGAACATGTGGACCCAAGGAGCAGGGAAGGGGAGGGTGGGTCAGACTGGGAGAACAGCACTGACATACATATTCTACTGTGTGTGAAACAGATAGCTATCGGGCAACTGCTGTATAGCACAGGGAACTTTGCTCTGTGATGACCTAGAGGGGTTGGATGAAGGCGGGGGGCAGTGGTGAGAGAGAGGCTCAAGAGGGAGGAGATATATGCATGTTGTGTGTTAGTTGTTCAGTTGTGTCTGACCCTTTGTGATCCCATGGACTGCAGTCTGCACCAGGCTCCTCTGTCCATGGGATTCTCCAGGTGAGAATCCTGAAGTAAGTGGGTTGCCATTCCCTTCTCCCGAGGATCTTCCCCGACCCAAGGGTTGAATCCAGGTCTCCTGCATTGCAGGTGGATTCTTTACTCTCTGAGGCCCCAGGGAAGTGTGCACAAAGCTGATTCATGTTGTTGTACAGAAGAAACTAGCAGAACATTGCAAACCAGTTATACTCCAATTAAAAAAAAGTAAATAAATAAAATGGGAAGAAAAAAGAAAGAAACCAGGACAGGGCAGGTGTTGAGGCCTGGCAGCTACTGGGCAGGGAAGACAGATTGCACAAGGGATGAGTAGCTGCTGGTGCCCCGGGGCGGTTGCTGCTCCAGGAGCACATGCGGGGAGAGTTGGTCAGTGACTGGGGCCTGCCTTTGCATCAGCAGCTCCAGGTCCTCAGACCTCACATCTTGCAGCCAGCATAAGCAGCATACACCTCCAGGTCATCACAAAGATGCTGGATGTATTTCTCTGGACACTTCCCCACCCTCTCCATAGCCTTCTGCTCCGTGGGCATCTTAGCATAGATGCTAAAGCGTTTCTCACAGTGAATTGAAAAATTCGTGGCGAAAATAAAGACTAGATAGAAAGACAACTTGTTTTCTGGAATTAAGCTAAAAAAATAGAAGCTTTGGCATGAATATGCCAGCACAGAATTATTCTATGTTTTATTAATTAATCTGTATCCCTGTATCCTCAAGAAAGACACAAGGGTCAGAGTGCAGTTTTCACTTCATGAAAAATGCTTAGGAATAAACATTAGCAAAAACCTGCAGGAAGCCTTTGGGACAGGAAAATGTCTTTTGTTCTTAACTACTTTTCCCTGGCTCTTCCAGAAAACCAAGTTCCTGCTGTGGCAGCTTAGCACCTCACCTGTAGATTAATATTGGCTCTAAGATAAACTCATACGCTTGATATGTACAGTGTATATGACCTTGTGTTCCTTCCCACATAACCTTGAAATTTTCTTCATCATGCAGTTGACTGGAACATACCACTCACTCCAGAAGTCTGAAGGAGACGCACTGGCCAAGCCGGGCTATTTTTCATTTGTTTGCATTTTTCCTCAACTTTTTCAACTGCACTCATTCTTGACCAGCCAAAGAAACTCTCAAGGGGATGCTCTGGGAGAGAGGGGGGCAAGGACAGCTTGAGAAATTCTCACATGTGTAAAACAAATGCCTTCCATTGAGGTTTTTAAAATAGTCCCGCTAAACTTTAACATGTGTCAGACTAAGTTTGCTCAAATAATCACAGGCTTGCACTAACAGGCTCCAACCAGTGTACACCAGACACAGAGGCCCATTATCACGAGAGTCCTGGCTTTTTTTTAGGTGGTTTTTACTTTGTCTTCAAATATCGCCTCTTGTGACCATGGTAGTGGTGAGCATAGCTGCCTCCTCCAACTTCTTAACACATTACGTCTAGAACTTTCCTGTTCTTTAATTCTACTTTGGAAAAAAGAGATATTATCACATAGTCGACTAGCTCATTTAGGGAAGACACGAGGAACTCTGTCCAAGTTTCCTCCAGGAATATTGTTGTCACATTTGTGGTTTGCTTCTAGAAAATTGGTATGTGAGTTGATGTACATTTTTCACTATTCCTCAAGCGTTTTTTTGTTGTTGTTGTTGCTGCTGCTGTTTTTAAGGGACGGGTAATTTAAGAGGGGGTCGGCTATATCGGAGCACCTTATTTTTGTTGTTGTTTTTTGTCTGCTACATAGGAAAGTCCATCAGCTTGATAATGGAGGAGAACAATGACTCCGTGGAGAACTCCCCGCAAGGCCCAGGGAGGAACAATGCTGTGAAGTGTGGGTGGCTGAGGAAGCAAGGAGGCTTTGTCAAGACTTGGCATACCCGCTGGTTTGTGCTCAAGGGTGATCAGCTCTACTACTTCAAAGATGAAGATGAAACCAAGCCCTTGGTAAGTAGGAGAAAATAAAAAGCACCGTAGTGCTTAGTAGCCAAAGAAGTGGTGGGGTTTGCTAGAAACTGTTGGAGACTGACCTCAACTGAATCTCCCTGGTCTCCTTCAGTTCACTGGCATCTTTCACACTTTTACTCACTGTTTACTTTGGTTCAAGAGGATAAACTTGCTAACTGAGGCCAAGAGGAAAATTATACTTGTTGAATATTAATTTTGACTTTTACTAAGCTGGACCAAAATATCTGAGTTCCAGAGATCTCATAAATAAATTAGTAAGAATATCTTGGAAAGGTATTCAAAAAAATAAAAAGAATATTTCATATTGGTATCATGACAGTTACAGGGCATTTCCATACTTGTTACTGATTTCATCATAGCAAACCAGTAGGGGACATGCGGGTTATCGTATGAAAATATTAATGGACCTCAGTTAGAAGATATATGCTGTAGCCAAAGCATCTTTCCTTTTCTCAGAAGCAAGTTGAAAGATTTGAAGAAAAACTGTAAGTGCAACTTTAATTCCTGAGACACTGTCAATATCTGTTCTCTGGGGGCGTCTCTGTGCTTTAACTCGTATAAAATATGGATGTAGCGCTAAACCCAGACAACGTTGATACATCCAACCAGCATACGCAATATAATCTCCTGGGAATAGTTTCTGTGTTTCTTTGTGGTTTCTTAGTGGTCTTTTAGTTGCTTGTTTACTTCTCATTTCCTCAGCCACAGATCTTTGGGTTGCAATTAGAGAGGAAAAATTCTCCATCCTTCCCTGTAGCTACTATAAGCTTTCTTAGCTGTGATCATTGCTTACCAATTGATGAAAGAAGATAAGAATGGAGGCATTCCCTCTGTGTTTTTCCTTCCTCTACATCTATAAAATACATAAGTAAGAGAAAAAATGTTTTAGAGTAGTTTACAAAAACATCCCTAATGGTATGTTCTTGGGGCTATTTTCCTTATATTAAAATTTGAGAACTTAATTAGGAAGTCGGATCAAGGCTCTGCTTTAGTATTTTAAATTCCTCAGACATAATTTAACAAACTTCTCATTAGTCTAACTGAATTATTAATACATAAAAGTAGCAATGAAATTACATTCTCTGCTCATTTTTTGAAATTTCTTTTTTAGCATACCTTTACCAAGGCCAAGCATTTGACTAAGAATTGGTGTATATGTGTTATGAAATGCTTAAAATGTGAGGTAGGATTAGCCTCATGTATGAAGAAATCAATGCTTAGGTATAAAGCATATTACCCAGAGTTAGATAGTGGTGCCATATTTGCCTCTAGTTAAGTCCAAGTTCATATGTTCTCATTCAAAGATCTCATAAATAAGTTAATAAGAACATCCCGTATTGGTGTCATGACAGATATAAGGCTTTCCCATAAGGACAGGGAAGCCTGGCATGCTGCAGTCCATGGGGTCACAAAGAGTTGGACATGACTGAGCAACACAATGACATTCCTTTCATCATAGCAAAACAGTGGGGAATGTGGGAGTTATTATTACAAATGAAGAAACCGTGGCTGAGATATGAAGCACCGTCATATAGAGATCAGAGGCAAAGGAGTCTTTTGTTTGTTATCTTATACTCTAGAGTTCTTTTCTCATGGTACCTTGTTTTATACTATGTAATACAGTAAGGTATTATCTTGAACACAAAATTATTTTTACCAAACTGAGGTTAATGTAAGTAGAACATGGGCATTCATTATGGAAACTTTGATATGGAGAACCATGTTGAATACAGAAGGAGAAGGATGAGTAACATTCAATATTTTATCCAATGGATTTTGTTCTGGCATGTTTTGGATGGGCTGGGTTGTTAATCAGAATGAGTACAAATTAAATAATTAGGTCTTATCTAGAATCTAAACAAAGGATTGGGGGAGCAAACGGAGGTTTTAGGAGCTGAGCGACTGGAGAACTGAAAGCAGACTGAACAATCGTTCTGACTCTTTGGTGAGTTCAACGTACCTTCTAGTAATGAAGATTGGCTATGATAGATCAAGATTGAGCTCAATGTTTCTAAAATTTGAGAACTTGCAGATGTCAGAGAATATGTACATGAACCCCTTAAACTGTTCAAAGAGGATATTATCAAATTGCCTTGGTTATTGTCCTCTGTGGCGTTTCTCAGAAGATTGACAGAGTCATGATAGTATTCTGTGCAATGTAGTTATTTTGATAAAAAGTTGGAAATTTAAATAAGAATGCAGAAACTTCTGATCAATTCAAATGAAATTGCCTCAAAGTGAAAATTAACTTAATTCATAGTATTTCTAAGATAAGCAGTATTTTGCTATTAGTATGTTACTAGTATTTGTAGACATAATATGTGAAACTAACAAAATAGACTTATATTGATAAGAAAATGCTAATTCTTATACAAATGAAACATAGATTACCATTATTCCTCTACAAAAAAGTTTTCATATTTTTTCTTCCTTATTATTATTTGTTAAAGATTTGCTGTTAATAAAGTATGATAATTTGGGATGAATAACTTTTAATTATTATTCATTTTTGGACCATCTTTCATGTAAGCACCAGGAATTTTGACATTGTACTTTTAAATTTTAATATTTCGCACTGATGTTTAGACATGTACACATAGAATCAGATGAAAACAGCAATGTCTATGTCAGAGGACGATTTGTAATTTGAAAGGATTGTGTATTTGTCCATGAATGGATTAATTTCTTGCTTTAAAGTGAACTCTTTAAGTGAGAAATAGATGCCTGCCTGACACATTGTAAGTGCAAGGCACATTTTCGGATGAGCTGATGAGTCAATAAATGATATCTGTGGCCAAGCAGGGTTGGGCCAGGGCCAGGTGCTATAACATGGACTATTTTCAGCTTCATATATCAAAATCATAACCTCTTTTTCAGTGAGGTTTAAATCACATTAAAAAAAATCCTGTAGTAAAAAAAATAATCATGTAGTGACATATCATAGAGTAACTCTAAAACATTCAATAAGCAACAATTGAAAACCTTGGGAAAATGTTAAAACAGGGAAAAAATGTTATAAAACTCCTCACTTTATAGATAAAGGATGCATGTGTGTTTGTGTGTGTGTGTGAGAGAGAGAGAGTGTATGTATCAGCCAAGAGATATTGTTGGCGAATAGCAAATAACAAACTGAAAATCAAATTTCCTTGCTCCTGATCCAATGTTCCTTCAGCTTAGCCTTTTGCCTGCTCACAAATCCTTAGCTTTTCTTTAGATTTGTTTTCAGTCAGAAGGACTATTTTCAATATGGGCACCTCCAAGCCTAAGAATGCCCTTGGCCTTCGTATTTTTTTTGCTGAGGGCTATTTCATTAATACTGGAGGAAACATCACTAATGAAATGAAAAAAATTTACTCTTCTGAGCATTCTTAACCAGCTGAAAAATTTCAATAAACTTAATCTGAATTGGTTTCCTCTTTTTTAATAGTATTTCTAAAATGAAAGTATTAAAATCCTTGAAGTATGTGTCCCTCCTATCCTAGAAAAAGCTTATCAATTTATTTTAGTGAAACTTTCTCTGAGTTTCTCAACTCAATAAAGTGAGTCAAGCTCCATCATTTCCTTGTTATTTAAAACTACACATCTGTTGGGGAAAACATGTAAATAGAATTATAATTGTGACAGACTAACATGTAAGTGTGAAGTACTCAGAAAGCACAGATATAACTAGTGCCAGGGCGACTGAATTGTGCCCCCCTCCGTAATTCACATTAAAGTCCTAGCCACATGGAGGATTAGGATTTTAATGTGAATGGTGGTGGGTGGAGGGTTGGGCACAATTCAATCCATAACACATAATATGTTGAAAACCTATGTTACTGAATATACTTTTCTCAATTAAGTTTATCTGTACAGTCAATTTTCATGTCTACTAGAACCTAGTATATCTGATCTAGTACATTATAGACTTAATCAGTTAAATTTAATATTGATGTACCATGTTCTTATTCAGGTTGCACCTTGCTTCCTAAATATTCCACAATCTGGGCAAGTCTGGGAGCTTAGAAAGTCTCTAAACGGACCCTTGTATTTTCTTCTTGAGCAAAAGGTGAAAGCATCTCTAGGTTCTCCTTTCTCTGGGGACAGTACCTTTTTGTAAATGAGACTTTCCAGCCTGTAGCCAGGCTTCCCCTGGCAGTGTATTGGAGTTCTGCCTCAAAGTGTAAGTGTTTTATATTTAAAATACATAAAACTCACTCCAGAAACTCCAGTGTTTGCAATTATCATGGAAACAGATTTTATTTGGAACAGATTTTAAAAATAAAGTTGATTTTGTTGTTTCTGAAAAAACCAACAGAATAGTGATGTATGTAGCCAATGTTTGAACATACACCAATGTATCCATAATGTCTGTTACTCATAGGCCACTGCTGTAAGCATTTTATATACTGTATTTTTAAAAATATTTGTTTAATATGTTTTCTATTTTTAATCTTTAAAATAAAGTCCTATTTATACAGAGAAAAAAAGTTAAAAATTATACTGTACATAAGAATTTATTTAAAAAGAAATCTTTCATCTATCTTGCATACCCCTAGGAGTTCTGGCTAGCTACGAAATATGTTTTAAAACATATTTTAAACTAAGCTTGTGACAATATCTGTATGGCTATTTTTCATTAATAATCATGACTATGGCCTTATAGATATTATAATAGAGGGGATAAAGCTGAATCATAATCACATAGATAAAATGTGATTATAAAAATAAAGCAGTTATATAGATTTTGTTAAATGAATCTAGTGATAAATTCCTAGTGCTTTTTGGGAACAATTTGCTTTACTTCTATCCTGAAGTATACTATTACTTAAATAACTGCCAAGTCTCAAGTTTGGCCATTTTAGTGAATATCTCTGATATACCTTGGGTGCTAGAACTTAACATATCCTGGAAAGCATCGATTTTTAGAAGCCAGCCTGGGATTCATGATAAAATGACTAAAATCCAAACAGGCACTAACCCAATTAATCTAGTCTAGA